GAGTGGGGAATACACGTGCCGAGTGGGGAATACATGTGCCCAGTGGGGAATACACGTGCCCAGTGGGGAATACATGTGCCCAGTGGGGAATACACGTGCCGAGTGGGGAATACATGTGCCGTGTGGGGAATACACGTGCCGAGTGGGGAATACGCGTGGTGAGTGGGGAATACACGTGGTGAGTGTGGAATACATGTGCCGAGTGGGGAATACACGTGCCGAGTGGGGAATATACGTGCCCAGTGGGGAATACACGTGGTGAGTGGAGAATACATGTGCCGAGTGGGAAATACATGTGCCGAGTGGGGAATACAGTTAGCTCAAGTTGGCGGTCAACAGAATGTGGAGCGATAAAAACATTTCATGTGTTTTATTTCCGTGCAGAACACGTCTTTACTAAAGGCTTTCTTGTTCTATCATTGGCTGTAGGGTTTGATGTTTATTTCAGTGTTGATTTTATCTGAATACTATCGCGTTGTGTTTGGCTGGGATTATAATGGTGGATGCTTCATCACGTTGTGTTTGGCTGGGATTATAATGGTGGATGCTTCATCGCGTTGTGTTTGGCTGGGATTATAATGGTGGATGCTTCATCGCGTTGTGTTTGGCTGGGATTATAATGGTGGATGCTTTATAAAAATATTATTTCACCTGGTTGTCGTAGGTGGATTGGTACGAATGACAGCTTGATGCATTCTGTGTGAGAAACCAGTGCCCTTATGTGTTAGACAATGCCCTCATGTGTTAGACCAGTGCCCTCATGTGTTAGATCAGTGCCCTCATTTTAGACAATGCCCTCATGTGTTAGACAATGCCCTCATGTGTTAGACAATGCCCTCATGTGTTAGACAATGCCATCATGTGTTAGACAATGCCATCATGTGTTAGACAATGCCCTCATGTGTTAGACAATGCCCTCATGTGTTAGACAATGCCCTCATGTGTAAGACAATGCCCTCATGTGTTAGACGATGCCCTCATGTGTTAGACAATGCCCTTATGTGTTAGACAATGCCACCAACTCTACATGATTTATTGAACAAATCCCCCCCCCCCCCCATAATCCCTGATTAACTCTCTGCGCCTGGATCATTATCCACCTTTGAGCCCTGACCTTTGAGCCCTGACCTTTGAGCCCTGACCTTTGAGCCCTGACCCTTGAGCCTTGACCTTTGATCCCTGAGATCGCCTCCAGTTTCCCCTAACTCCACTAGTGGACACCGCTGACTGAGAAAACTGACCAAGCGAAGATAATCAGGGTGTTCTTGCTGAGAAATGTCAAGGAGATTTATCTGCCCTTTTTATGTCGGGGTTGGGGGTGGGGGTGTATGGACATGAGTTTTTATACTCCACACGACACAACCACATACCCCAACATCCACTCTACACCATAACGATACACCACAACCCACATGCAAATGATAACGACCTAAAATCACAACCAGCATTTATAGAATTAAACCTGTAGCTACGTGCACCCTAATTAACCGTTAACTGAGCTAATTAATTAACGCCTGCACGTCTAATTGGGAGTCTAACCCACCAGTCTGGCGCTGTTTGCGATCAGATGTGTTGATGTTCAAACATCCAGATGTTTGCCAGATATTTGACAGATGTTTGCCAGATTTTTGACAGATGTTTGCCAGATTTTTGCCAGATGTTTGCCAGATTTTTGACAGATGTCTAGACAAACTTCCTGGCAACACAACATTGGGTGTAAACATGTACGGGTATCACGTGACCTACAACAACGTGCATGCCTCGTTCTGGCGCCGAGCTGCTGCAGGTTACCTCACAGGTGCTCAGCCTGGCCGTTAATTAGCTCATTACCTAATTACACAACAGTCTTGGTGTAACTCACAGCTTCACGCGAGAGATCTTTAATTGTGCACGTCCTACCTGTGGCGCTTACATGTGACTATCCATATCCTTAGCATCATCATCACACGACACGTGTGGCTATCTACATCACCACACATGTGGCTATCCACATCATTAGTATAGAAATCTTCATACGACTAGGGGACGGCGTGGCCTAGTGGTAGAGAGCTAGACTGCTAACCCGGGAGTCTACAGTTCGAAAACGGGTTCAAATCAGTGGAACGTACCTGAGTCTACCCAGCTCTGATGGGTACCTGACTCTAGTCCACCCAGCTCTGATGGGTACTTGACTCTAGTCCACCCAGCTCTGATGGGTACCTGCCTCTAGTCCACCCAGCTCTGATGGGTACCTGACTCTAGTCCACCCAGCTCTGATGGGTACCTGACTCTAGTCCACCCAGCTCTGATGGGTACCTGACTCTAGTCCACCCAGCTCTGATGGGTACCTTACTCTACTCCACCCAGCTCTGATGGGTAACTAACTAGTCCACCCAGCTCTGATGGGTACCTGACTCTAGTCCACCCAGCTCTGATGGGTACCTGACTCTAGTCCACCCAGCTCTGATGGGTACCTGACTCTAGTCCACCCAGCTCTGATGGGTACCTGACTCTAGTCCACCCAGCTCTGATGGGTACCTTACTCTACTCCACCCAGCTCTGATGGGTACCTAACTTACGTTAGGGAAACAAAGGCGGCTGGGCATAGTGTCTTGGGCACGAAAGGGATTAAGGGATTTAGGGATTAAGAAGAAGAATCGTCATCGCGACACATGTGGCTATGTACATTCTTAGCATCATCACCACACTAGGCAACCTACACATCAACATCGAATTCCTCTTGGCCGCATTAGATACCAGTTATAATATTGTCTTCCTAAGATATTGATCGTACTACAAGGACATATATTGTCCCATTAGGACCTCGACTAAGTATCGTCTCCAAGTTTCCGTCTTATCACAATGATACACCTGTCACAATGACATCAACCTGTCACAATGACATCAACCTGTCACAATGACATCAACCTGTCACAATGACATCAACCTGTCACAATAACATCAACCTGTCACAATGACATCAACCTGTCACAATGACATCAACCTGTCGCAATGACACCAACATGTCACAATGACATCAACCTGTCACAATGACATCAACCTGTCACAAAGACAGCAACCTGTCACAATGACATCAACCTGTCACAATGACACCAACCTGTCACAATGACATCAACCTGTCACAATGACATCAACCTGTCACAATGACATCAACCTGTCACAATGAGATCAACCAGTTCTCTGATAACAACGTGATGTTTCACAACTGTTCCAAATATGTGATATGTAAAACGAGCGAAAAAAATGTGTGTTTGACATCCGCCTTATCTGAGAGTTTTCTTGTATCTCTTATGACGATTTCTTTTTAAAGCAAACACAAAACCGGCCATTCATTAGCCTAATGAATTCCTAGACAAAACTTACCTGTCCTTAATTTGACGGATTTATCTGAAATTTTCCCGCCGCTCACCCAAACTTCTGGGACGTCCATTAGGACGTGTACTGAGACGTCATGCCAAAGATAACACCAAGCCACGCAGGTGAGAGAGCAGGGGCAGCAACCAGCCTGAGAATAAAGACACGATTATCTGCCCATACCTTCACAAAAATCCATCACTGCAGGGTTCCAGATGGCTGAAATAAAATAAAAAATACAACTCTGACGTTATGATGGCGCGGCAAATCTGTTGACGTCACTGTTACCTAGCATAACATAACCTATAACAGGTTATTCAAAATTAGTATGCTTAGCTGTATCGAGCAATACGTGAAAACAAAATGCCGACACGGTACAAATGCCGACACCGCTTCAAACATCATCAACAAACATCGTGTAAGTACGACAGCGACGGTAGAAAGCTTATGGCAAAACCATTGAATGTAGAATTACTAAAACGGACTATTTTAAACTGTGTGTTTGCATTTCCTTCACTAATCTTATACAACTAGTTCCCTATTGAAATATTTTTTAAAATATAATTTTGCAAATTAAATCATCATGATATATTTACATACTGACAAGTCCCGATATGTGCACTTTATAATGCTCTTATAAACAAACATATATAAGTGATTGTATATCGTGATTTTCATCTGCACCATGTCTGCACCTTATCTGCACCATATCTGCAACATATCTGCACCATATCTGCACCATATCTGCACCATATCTGCACCATATCTGTCCCATATCTGTCCCATATCTGTCCCATATCTGTCCCATATCTGCACCATATCTGCACCATATCTGCAACATATATTGCTAGCAAAAGTTGAACTTTTATTTTCCTGGCCCTCAACACTGCTTGCCCCCCCCCCCCCCCACCTCTGCTGCCTGGATTCAAGTGTAGACAAACACACTTAGTTCATAAAGGTCATCACAGAATGAACTTACCAAGTCAATACGGTGACGTCATCACAACATAAGGTAGACTTACCGCTAATGACGTCACCGGAAGTCAGATTACCAGGAACACAAAACATCGAACTGTTCTCCTGGTAACTGAGAGGGCGGTATGTGTGATTAGTTCTCTATGGGGGGGGGGGGGGGGGTCATGTGGGTTTAGTTCTCAGGTATAGGTAAAGGGGAGCGATGATTAACCTATCCCACCGGCAGTTACATGTAGGTCAACACATGCAGGACAGGGGGAAACAATGTACATCTGATTGTCTGGAGATTTCTATATTGGGTTAGATGTAACAAAAATTATTTCTATTACCGCCCTTTACTTGTCACTAGTTATCTCCCATGCAAAGTTAAGACAAGTATCATCAAACTTGACCTTAATCCGCGTTTAATGAGGCCAGCAATAGCGCCAGGGTAGGAGCGTTATCTCGGCTTTAATCTCCCTGATTAGTCCACTCGAGTCGATCACGTGACCCCCGTAGTCGCATCTCTGTTGTTGTGTGACGCAGTTAGTCTTTACAGGCAGGCTGCACGCGTGGCTGATTTCACACGCGTGGCTGATTTCACGGTTCAAATGTTGGGACGGTTTTTTTTGCTGACGGGGTGAGATCTCGCTGTTGTCGTAATCGTAGGCAGTGTGGTGAAGTGTCTTAGTGTGGTGTAAGGAGTGGTTCTTATGTGGACTATCTTAGTGAGGTGTATGGACTGATTCTTATGTGGACTATCTTAGTGAGGTGTATGGGCTGGTTCTTATGTGGACTATCTTAGTGTGGTGTATGGACTGATTCTTATGTGGATTATCGTAGACAGTTTAGTGTAAGGATTGATTCCCGTGTTAACTATCTTACAGTGTTTTGTATGGAATTTTTATGAGTCTAGTAAGTTAAGTGGAATTTTCTGTTACTTGGCGATTCATTGAGGATTACTAGTTGAGGATTATTGGTTAAGGATTATTTATTAAGGATTATTATTGAATTACAATGGATACATGACCGAGTGGGTAAGTAAAAATGTTGTCTAGACGCAGTCAAGTAGTCGATAATGTTGTCTAGACGCAGTCAAGTAGTCGATAATGTTGTCTAGACGCAGTCAAGTAGTCGATAATGTTGGCTGGAAGCAGAATTAAAATCATGTTCGTTGAGGTTAACTAAGGGCATGATTTGATGATGTGTGATGTACTATTGAGGGCATGTTCAGATGTGTTGTATTATGTGTGTAGTGTTGTGTTGTTCACGAGGTGCTGGGGCCAACAAGATATGTGCTGTCAAGTTTACACACTACTACACACTTGTTTACAACCGACTACACACTCGTTGTGTGTTTGTTTTCAACGCGACTTCCTCTTTCCATCCATTGGTCCAAACGAGAAAACTGCACGTGTAAGAGGTCTATTTATATCCCGTGACCTTAATACTTGACCTTTAGCACTTGACATTGAAGTGTTTGAGATAACTGTTTCACACGACCTCAAAGTCCCGACAGACAATTCTACCAGAATTGACGGTCAGTTGTATGCTAATGGACGGTCAGTTGTATGCTAATGGACGGTCAGTTGTATGCTGTAAGTAATATTTTGGCGAGTAAGTTTGACCCACGTAATGTGCACAATGTGGGACGGCTGAGCGGTAGAGCGCTAGGCTGCTAGCCCGAAAGTCTCGAGTTCGACGTCCTTGAGTCCACCCAGCTAATGGGTATAACGCTGCCCCATTATCTGCCTCTATGCCGTGTCTTTGGGAAGGAACAGGAAAAGAAGTTGATGATGTATTGTAAACGTCGCCTCAGTAGAGAATGGCGCTAGAGCTTATGCTTTTGGTGCGGGGAGGGGGGGGGGGGAGACTGCTGAAGCGCGTTCATTGTGGCCTGTAGTTGGTGGCCCATACTCCAGCAGGACAGAGAACTCTGGAGAGCTGTAGTTGGTGGCCATACTCCAGCAGGACAGAGAACTCTGGAGAGCTGTAGTTGGTGGCCTATACTCCAGCACGACAGAGAAATCTGGAGAGCTGTAGTTGGTGGCCCATACTCCAGCAGGACAGAGAACTCTGGAGAGCTGTAGTTGGTGGCCCATACTCCAGCAGGACAGAGAACTCTGGAGAGCTGTAGTTGGTGGCCCATACTCCAGCAGGACAGAGAACTCTGGAGAGCTGTAGTTGGTGGCCCATACTCCAGCAGGACAGAGAACTCTGGAGAGCTGTAGTTGGTGGCCCATACTCCAGCAGGACAGAGAACTCTGGAGAGCTGTAGTTGGTGGCCCATACTCCAGCAGGACAGAGAACTCTGGAGAGCTGTAGTTGGTGGCCCATACTTCAGCAGGACAGAGAACTCTGGAGAGCTGTAGTTGGTGGCCCATACTCCAGCAGGACAGAGAACTCTGGAGAGCTGTAGTTGGTGGCCCATACTCCAGCAGGACAGAGAACTCTGGAGAGCTGTAGTTGGCGGCCCATACTCCAGCAGGACAGAGAACTCTGGAGAGCTGTAGTTGGTGGCCCATACTCCAGCAGGACAGAGAACTCTGGAGAGCTGTAGTTGGTGGCCCATACTCCAGCAGGACAGAGAACTCTGGAGAGCTGTAGTTGGTGGCCCATACTCCAGCAGGACAGAGAACTCTGGAGAGCTGTAGTTGGCGGCCCATACTCCAGCAGGACAGAGAACTCTGGAGAGCTGTAGTTGGTGGCCCATACTCCAGCAGGACAGAGAACTCTGGAGAGCTGTAGTTGGTGGCCCATACTCCAGCAGGACAGAGAACTTAGTAAATGAGAGATAAAGTTCTGACTTTGGTCTTGAAGTAAATTCTGATGCCCTGAGTTTTGACAGAACCACTCACTCTGTATTCTCAAGGGAAACCAATCAGACCTAGTTTACTGAATCACCCATTCATCAAATATTTATATATGTATTTCATTTTACTTCTATCTATACGGGTTTTTCGTTTAATAACGGAATGTGCTGAGTTTTCTAAATCTTCGACTAGATGAAATATTCGCAGAATTATTTAACCTGTATGTGTGAACAACATGTTGAAGGTTTTTTTTATCAGAGTTCATAGGAAAAGTTTGAGATCTGCTGGGAGAGAAAGAAATGTTATCAGCAGACGTCTAAATGTGCGGAGGTATGAGTGGGGGGGGGGGGGGGGGGGGGAGAGGGGGGGGCATAGAACTTTGAGCTTTGAAGATTGCGGTAATCATTAAAAAAAATTACTTCAAACAGAGCGTGTGTGTGTGTGTGTGTGAATTACCTAAGAGTAGCTGTTGTTGTGTGTGTAGGGGGGGATAAGTGTGTAAAGTACAAACGCAGATCACGTGGTGGTAAACATGAGCGTGACCTTCACAAGGTGTGTGTGACCTTGACGTCGTGGGATGTAAACAATGTATTGATGTCTGTCCAGCTTCACGCTAGTCAACGTGTGAGAGGTGGGGTGGGGGGGGGGGGGGGGTGGGGGGGGGGAGCTGGCGAAGTTCTAGTTGATTGGGAGAGGGTAATTAGGTCATGGAAGGAATGCAAGTAGGTGGTTGTGAGAGGAGGTAGCAGTGTTTCTTTCAGACTTTTTTTTTCTCCAGAGGGGTATGGGTGGGCTGCTAAAACTTTGAGATGGAGGGGGAGGAGGAGGAGACTAGAAACTTTCAGATGGGGGGGGGGGCAGTGGCAAAGTGTCTATTTTCTAAATAAATTCGATTTAGTTCAGCGAGGGAGGGGGCGGTGGGGGACATGTTTTAAGTTCCACCCCTTCCCCTCGAAGAGATGCGGTAAAGAAACTGTAGATAGGGACTGGTAATGTGTAGAAGCGGGTTGGGGGGTTGGGATACGTATCCTAGGAAAATGTCAATATCTAACACAATGATGTTAGAATATCCTAGGATCTGACTTAGACTGATTGGCCTAGACATTGACATTAGACACGTTGTCTGACTCTGGCTAATTGACCAGCTTTCCACGGTTGACTGATTCTGTGTGCACCTATGATCAAGCTGCAACTGTTTGTGTGCCCGCCTGTTATTTGAATTTATTCACCGGCGCCAAGTTCTCAACAGGTAAATTCGTGGTGACTATTTCGATCAGAGCTCACAGCAATTCTAGCTGTAGACAATAGCTTACAGCCAACTGGATCAGAAGGGACGGGGGTAGGACACAACAGGACAAACCTTATAGACATGGGTAGGACACAATAGGATACAACTTTCAAACAAAGGTAGGACACAATAGGACACAACTTACATAATCCACATTCAATATTGTACCTAAATAATTCATATTCAATCCCATTATGCTTCTCTTTATCTTACATATAATCCAAGCTCATTCCGATCCTGATGCTCATAAAACTCAAATATAACACTCTTCTAAACTCACATGTAATTGTAATCCACATTTATACTCACATGTAATCCACATTTATACTCACACCCTGCTCGCTCTACTCTACCTTAAGCCCGAGACATTGACCTAATTTTAAATCCTACATCGCCTAAAGTTAAGTCAACATCAGCTCAACACAAAAACAAATGAAGCAGACAGTCTACCTGTAAAATCATTTTTTTTCTTTCCGTTTTTTTATTCAAGTTGAAAACACTCGTGTCTTGTAGATTTACAGACGATGCATCGATTGTTTTGTTGTTGTTGTTTTACGTCACATTGTTTTCGTTGTTTTCTGACGTCACATTGTTTTAGTCGATTTCTAACCCATCCCCCCCTCCCAAATGTTATTTTCTTGCGTGTTTTCCTGTGATTGTCTACGCCAATAGATTGATGATCGCTCAGGATTCTGTTTGTTTTTCTAATTGTAAACAACACCCCCCCCCCCTGCATTACTACAGACTGGTAGTCAAAAGAACAAGCTTGACCTTTGACTTGACCTGTGACAAACATGGGATGACCTTTACTGGCTACTAAAACCTGTCCCGTACTGTTGCAGGAACGAGTCCATCAGGCACTAACTCTCAACACGAGCAAACAACGGGCTGGTGTGGCTGGACGCTGGGGGTGGGGATAGGTCTGCTCGTCGGTGGGGGAGTGGGGCATGCCTCCCACCCTCGTGTAATTAGCCTAATGAGTCTCAATCAAAGGTTGGGGAACGAACAATTTTCTCTCTCACTTTCCCACACTTGAATCCGTTTAAAAATTCTCATTTTATTTAGCGCACCTGTTCCACCTCACACTGGCGCCCCACCCCCGCCCCACCCCACACCCCACACCCGCACCCCACCCCATACCCGCGTGGGACTATTTAAACAGCGAAATGCTATTGGATGAAATCAAGTAGAGCATTTCATTGTTTCAATTCGATGGCTTTTATCTGTTTTAATCGCGGCTCTTTGCATCTTTGTAGAACTAACGATGGCATTTTTCTACTTCAGGTTAACAGAATCTATGGCATTTTTCTACTTCAAGTTAACATAATCTATGGCATTTTGTTGTTTGATATTAGGACAAACTATCATGATATCTTGCTACTAATTATCATGACATCTTGCTACAAACTATCATATCTTGCTACTAAATACCATGATATCTTGCTACTAATTATCATTATGTCTTGCTACTAATTATCGTGATATCTTGCTACTAATTATCACGATGTCTTTCTATCAAGACCACTAATAAAACATTTGATTACGAGCGCGTGTTGCTGTGACATTCAACCAATGGCGTCCAATTTGTCGTGTCAACAAGCAATGGCCGGTAACTCCCCTCCCCCTCCCCTCCTCTTCCCCTCCCCCTCCATCACCGACCACGTGATGCAGGTATTGAACACAAACCCCCACAAAATCCCCAAATTCCTCACGTAAATAAACCACACAACCCAGATGACCTGATAATATTATTGAATCGACATTGTGTTGTAAGCTTCTAATCTGTGTTGTTGTCAGGTGTGTCTCTGTGTGTGTGTGTGTGTGAAGGGGGGAGGGGAGGTAAACCAGGCAACCAGCGCTGGTGTGACGTCACGTGCCCTGGTTAAACTAAGCCCCGGTGCTTGTTTAGATTAGCGGTTGGTTTACTCCCGCTCAC